TTCCGGAATGTCCGGGTTGCTCTCTTCCAAGAATTGCTGAGACTGCCGACGAAAAATCGTCGCGCCTTTGAATGGCTCAGGAAATTCCGTAGCAGCAGCCTCTGGGTCAGCCCAGTGGTCGTGAATCCACTGGAGTCTCCCGTTGAGGAACACAGCCAATGTGTGCCTCTCGTTCCCCAGCAATTCCTTGGAGGGAGCGGCCGAATCGGTCTCATCTGGCACATACAGACAATTCCTCCACTCATGGTGTATCCTAATGTCAAACTTGGGTGTGAGGTACCATTCATCATGTCCGAATGGTCCTCCTGTCTCCGGGTCACTCATGCACAATCGCCGTTCCACAATTTCCTTTGCTTCTTCCAATTCTCCCGTCGTCAGCTCCTTCACTGACCGGGAATAATCATCCTGGCCAATGTCAGCAGACGGTTGCGCTTTCAAATGAGGTTTCTTTGCTGGCACTGACGCTTCCTGAATGGGAGGTCTTGCAATTGTGGATTGCTTCCCCGTCAATCGTCTTGCCGTCGGCAAGGATTGCAACGGGAATTCTGTCCTTCCCATCCAGTACTGATCCAACGCCCGTTGCGGAGAATCTATCGTCCGCCAATTGTCGGCGATGGTCTCCTCACGTCCATCTTCGAATCGGACGTAAGTTGTGCGTCTGGACGCCACATCTTCCACAGGAATGGGCCTGTCCTTGGTGCCACCTGGCGTGAATAACGCACGCCTTGCGCGCTTGTGATGTCGAATCAGCACAGCGCGTTGCGGATCAAGTTCCCAACTGTCGTTGTGGTAAATGGTGGGCTTAAATGTGGGTGCTATGGTCCCTGAAGAATCTGAACCAAACTTGGAATGAAACTCTTGACACACTTCTTCAAATCGGGGTTTGTCAAATGGAAGAATGTTCGGACCTAGGAAAAGCAGTGAGCCTTTTCGGTGAATACTCACTACCTTACCATTGGGCATAAACAATCCCAATGAGTCTGGTCCATCCAATGCTACGCGGAATCCCTGCAGCAGCAATCGTGCAACCGACACAATCGGATAAGGCACGTCACAAACATAAAAATTCATGAAGCAATCTTGTCCATCCAAGTTCAAGCCAACCAATCTTCTCCCATACATGTTCAATGGCTGTCCTGTGACACTCTTCAATGGTGGGCCATTTCCATTTAATGGAAGCAATGGCCATTGTTCACCAAAGTCTGGCGGACAGCAATGGGCAGATGCTCCTGAATCAAATAGAATCCACGGGGTGGAATCCTCGACTGCTGAAATCAACTGTTCATGCAAGAATGTGTCAACAAACTTCGAATTCAAGTGATCCAAGCCGCAGTCCTTCAAGGTGGTCACGAAATGAAAAGAATCCTTCACTGGGGTTGGTTCATCATACCAATCTAACAAGTCTTGTCCGGGAACAGGGGCAATCAATCCGGCACTCAAACATGGCATGCTATCCAATCCAGTGTCCAAGCAATACATCGACTTAAACAATCTTTCATGCTCTCCAAATGTCATCCAACTTTCACCTTCACCCTCAGACGGACTGCCACGAGTGGCAGGAATCTGAAAGGATGATCCTGAGGTGACCGAATTCATGACAAGTGCAGCAATCAAAAATGATGAGGCCTTTGGCTTGGCCTTTGGCCGAATGGGAGTTGAGCCAATGTTTGGACTCAATCCCGGCGGCACCTGTGTCACTGCTCCAATGGTTCCTTGCTGTGAATCTCCTGCTGGGGGTGGTCCTGCCGATGAAAACGCGGCAGAATCGCATCCAGCAGGAGGCTCTGGAATCTGACTGTCCTGAAACCAATCCCAAGGGTGGTCCCAAGAGTTCACAGAATCCCATGATCCCCAAGACGAATCCCAGGACCAATCTTCTCCTTCATCCCAACTCAATCCAGCAATGTCCCATGAGCCATCAGGCCACGACGAATCAGGCCAGGGCTCTTCGGACCATTCTTCATTCCAATCTTCCTCAATCACTCCGCTCACAGCTCTCTGCGGACATGTTCTGGAAATGTGGCCGCGAGAGCCGCAAATCCAGCAGGTTGCAATCGACCCTTTTCCTTTTCCTTTGGAATCCTTTCCTTTTCCTTTTGGGTCCTTTCCTTTGCCTTTGCCTTTGAAATCCTTTCCTTTTCCTTTTCCTTTGCTGAATGCTCCTTTGTTGTATGACCAATGTGGTCCTTTGGCTCCTTTGAATCCTTTGAATCCTTTGCCTTTGCCTTTTCCTTTGAATCCTTTCAGCGCCCCAATGTCCATGGGTGCTGGTCCTTGGTTGTCATTCCCCGGCATGTTCCTAAGAATGTGCCTGGAATGGTGGTACTGCACAATCACGTTTCGTGTTTGTTCATAGGTCAACAATGCCGAAGCATTGAGCCTCAAATGCTGTTGCAATGGGCCTGTTGTCTTGTTCAAGAGGGTAGCCACCAGAATGCTATCAGGAATGGCTTGGCCGGTTTGAGATTCATATCTGGCCTTAATGGTCTCCCAGGTGTTGAAATCTTGTTCAAATGTATTGGAGTGAAACTTGAATTCCAAAATCTGGCTAAGTAAACTCATGTGCCGTGTTGCGTCCGGCAATGCAAATTTGGAATACAATCTCCTCCAGGTTTCATAACCATTGCAGCCAATGTTCTGCCTGACTACCAGCCTTGCTGAATCACTGCACAAATTTGCTAACAAATAATGCAGCCTTCGGGAATTCTGAATCCTTCTGTCTGTGGCATCCTGGTTACCCGCTACATTCAAATGCGCGTCCTCAATGGGTGTGTCTGCGTTGGCCTCAATGCGGTCCATAATCGTTGTTGAATCTGGCAGGAACATGCTCAAATATGTCCTGAAATCCCAGCTCCAATCTTCCCAGTCCTCTGGCTTGCCAGTGAATTTCCCTGGCATGGGAAGTCTTAGCTTTCCTGCAAAATCCTCATCTTGTCCGAGTGCCATGGCAGCTCTCAGAATCAGGTTTCCCTAAGGTCTCCTGAATCTTCGAGCTCCGCTACCATGGGAAAATCAGAGACTAATCTCTGCTAATCAACCAAGGCAGCAAATGCACCTTTGTCATCTTGAGCCATGCAATGGTAATCAGTATGAATTACATCCAAGTGGGAATGCATGGTGTACTTTCGCACAACCAACCAACCAACCAACCAACCAACCAACCAACCACCTGCCAGGGTTAGCCCTGTGCCAGGGCTAGGCAAAAAACAATCCCTTTCCTTCCTACGCCAATTATTGGACAAAAGCGTCCGCCGACGTTCCACAACAGGGGGAAATACATCCCAAGACTGTCCTCAAAAACCTTGTCTTGCACGTCGACAAGCTCTCCGACGTCTATCACCTCATCGTCGTTCAGAACCTCCGGGTCCTGGCCACTTCTCCGGCCCAGTGAAAAGCGTGCAACACACATCTGTGCATCTCACGTGTCAAGAGTCGCATTTGAGCAGATTCAGAAGCAAGCCTGGGACGCCTCAGAAATGCGCCAGGAACCAACTGGCCAAAGCCCATACCGGCTAGCTACGGACATTGCGAAGAATGATTCATGGTGCAATTGCCCAAGGACAAGCTATCAGTGCCGGAACTCTCCCACTGGATGCCCTCTCCAAGCGCTACGTTAGCTCATCCAAGTCTGCTCTGATGGCTGGGCCAAGTTGGCTAGGCCTGCTGGCTGGCTAGGTCGACCGACCAACCGATCACCTTATCCAGTCAAGGGATGATAAGTCAATGGATGTTGAATTTACCCAGGCTAGTCTGTCCTCTTCTGGGTCAGCCTCCTCCAGGAACTCAGTCTCTTCGACTTCGTCGTCTGAGTTCATGACCGCGACCTCTGCAGCGAAACCGGCATCGGTCCGGCCCAAGGGCCACTGGGCCACTGCTTTCCGCATTGCCAACTTGACACGTCAATCAAAAGCAGCCGGCCCTTCGGCTTGGTGCCCGGGCCGCAGAAGCCGCGCGGAGGCATCCGCCCGCTTGAGCCGCCCAAATGCGCACGACATTTGTCCCATTCCCATGCTGGAAATCAGCGGTCAACAGCCACCACGCCCTGTCAAAGCTGGCGAGGACTCTTCAAAGATGATGGTCCTTTCGGACCGTGCCAAAGTACAAACCCCGCCGATTGCTACATGCAATTCATCTGGGCCTTTCAACTTGCAACGGCCAAAGGTTCAGACTAGCTCACTGTGCATCCTGAGGCCCCCTGCCGAAGCGAGCGCTGCGGGTGGTGACACAAGCCTCCAACAAACCCATTGTTTAACGTCTTCGATTCTGCGGCGCAGGACGGACTCCTCACGAAGAAAACCATAAGCACAGGTGCCGGGTTGCCGCGGCTGAGCTTTTGAGAGCCTCCTGAGAGAAGAGGACACCCCTGCCGTTCGCTGCTGCTCCCTGAAGTCCTGCCTTGCCTCAGCCTTGCTGCATGTGGTGGCTGGACAAGCTCCTATGGTTTTCATGTCTCACAAGTTTGTTGGATATTCAAGAAGCCTGATATAGAGATATCAGAGATATCCCCGTCTGATATCCCCGAATGTTGTTTTGAAACCCCTTCGTGTCACCAGCACGCCAGCCGCAGCCACTTCTCGCGCACGCGAACTCGGAAGATCCGAAATGGTCTCTGGAAACCGCCATGGGAAAAAGGCAACAACGGCACCAGTCGCTAGCCTCCTTTAGGCATAGCAAGTTGACGAAGCATGGCAAACAAGACTGTAGCTTGCTGCGAAGTCGGGCCAAACGTTTCGAAGATCTCCCCAGAGCCATCCACTTTCCTCATGAAGAGGGCGACTCCAGCCGACATCCCCGAAACCCGTGTCAAAAAAATGCCGGGTCCACGCTAACGTGAAGGCCCCCCGTTCCTGTGAATTTGGCTAAAAGTAAAACGCCGTGCTCTTGCACGGAAATCGCCATGCAAAATCGCCTATCGCCTGGCGATCGCCCATTAACAAGACCTGACCACAAGCAACCCGCGGCCCGCGCAGCCGTCACCTGGTCCGGCGCTCTTTGCGCGGTCACTTGAGCCGCGCCAAAAGGACCTCCCGCTCCTTTGCCGGCAGCTGGTCGAAGAGCTCCTGGTCGCTTCCGCTTCCAACCCATCGCTTCCCAAATGAGAAACCTAGAAACACAATGTGGGTCTGTCTTTCTTTAGGGCCCCCCTGAAAATGGGTGAGTTCCTTTTGGCTTCCCACTGAAACCACCAAAAAAGGGTACCTTCAAAAAAGACACCCACGTGACTCGCGCGCCCGCCTGGATGTGGGACTTCAGGAAGTCGTGCCTGATGGACTGCGCCAACGCGTCCAAGTTCTGGGACTCCAGCCAGCTCACCATCTTCGCATCGCCTCGGATCGGTCCCATCGGTTCCCATCGCTCCCATCGGTCCCATTCCCATCGCTCCCATGCCCGGCTCAGTTTCTCAAGACTCAAAGAGATGTAAGAGCCGATTGACATGGGCCTGGAGACGGATCTCATATGAATGGACACTCTTGGAGGTGCATGAATCCAATTCTTCATCATATTGCGTATCATGATAGCTCTATCTAGTGTTCCTCGTCACTGAGAGCTAGACCAAGCGGTTGGAGGTGAAGCGAGATAGTGAGTCCAAAGGACATAAAGAATCATAAGGAGAAGCCAGACAATGCTATGCATTGAAGAGAAGGGAAAAGAGAGATGGAGAGGGGTATACCTCATTCTCAATCCGTTCTCTCCTCCAGCCCACTGACTATTCCACGGCTGGAGAGCTACCTCACACCATGCCAAGCCCCTAGAACCCTTCGCTTTTGCCGGTAAGATGTCTCTCCGGAAATCTCATGGCCACATCCCAAGAATCCTAGAGACAGCCTCTGGCGTGGGGAAGTCAATTGGATGGTGGAGGATGGGGATAGAAGTAAAGCGAGAGTAAATTATAATGGCTGTGCAATTGTTGTTCTGATATTTTGTGAGCTTGATGAGGTGGCCCCCCTGCCCGAACCAAAAATGGACTGCCCATTTTGCTCACGCACGACCCAAACACACCTTCAATGTTGGCCCTTAGCTCCTTCTTCAAGGCATACCCCCGGCTCCGCCACGGCTCTCCAACCAACCACTTCTCCCAACTGCCGGGGAGCTCTCGAACTCCACTTTGCTCTCAGCCGCCCAGCCCTGGATCAACTTCTCGGCCTCCTGCGGGCCGGTTCGCATCGGCCAAGGCCCCGAACGGGGCCGGAAAAAAAGCAAGGAGGGCTCCAAAAGAAAAGCCACAGGAAATCGAGCGGTTCGGCTTTGCTTTAAGCAATGCTCCCGCCCTATAATCATGGATGCTGACGAGCACATATTAAAGGTCAGAACAGCAGGAGTGTCAAGGGGCCAAAAAAGTGCAATTTCTAAGCGGGAAGCCAGGATTGCGGTCTTGGATTCCGCTCAAAAGATCGTGTGAGGTGCGCAAGCTGTGTAGCTAGCAACTCTTGGCTCATTCTGATCCTTTTTGCAGACCTCGCTTTGGCCCCAGTCGGTTTCTCGTGTTGGTCCTAATCTTGCTCAATCTTACAGGGGCAGGAAAGGTTTTGCTCTCGCGGGGGTGGGGCTTGATGGGTCCGGGATTCAGGGCTTCAAATTGAGGGTTCAAGGCCTTCTCTCATGGCACACTCCGCCTGCCAACTTCGCATAAGATGGCACATTGCTACCCTTGGAGAAAGCGCACAATGGAGTCGAAGGCGAAGTACCGTGGCAAGTCCACATACCAACGGGGAGCGCTGAAACATACGCCCTTGCTGCATCATTGACATCCTCTCCTTATGGCTGAGCTTGGTGTTTGCCTTCTGCAAACGGGCGATGAGATGATCCTGCAAGACCCGGCGCTTCACGCGCCAGAAGAAGTAGCGTCTGGAGTCCTGGGATTCGTCACTGCATGTCAAGAATGCCACGGCAAACACCAGGCTTGGCAACCCGAGCCATGAAACGATCGACAAACATGACACACACACACACACCCAGAAGCGTTCACCGGCGGATCCCGCCACTTCCATCCCTTTCCCAGGCCTTCCAAGCGATGCCTTCCCGGATCACGCCCTTCGCCTTCATGCGCCCCGCGCGGTCGTGGAGGTCCGCAAAGGTGGTGGCCACGGACGTGTACAAAGGCAGCAGCTGCTTCTCACGGGCCTGGACAAAAATCGATCGGCCCTTTGGCCGTTGGCCTCCCTGGTTGCTTGACTTTGAAGCACAGCCCTCCCCCCCTCCCCCCCCCCAAAAAAAAAAAAAGTGGAAAAATGCCTCTGGACTAGTCGGGCAGCCAAATACCAAAGGCAAAAAGACCAGCCCCCAATCCTCAGCCACCCTCCCATCCCCCTCCCACGCCTTGATTTCTTTCTCCAGGCTCGTCTTCTCCTCCCCCGAAGCGCTCTGCAGCTTGGCGTCCATCTGCTGCAGCTTCTCGTCGATGCGGTGCATCGCCTCCACCTGACGATTTGTTTCAGCGGTTGGAGCGGAAGCCGCAGCGCGTTGCAAAAAAGGCGGAAAGGAGATATGATGATACGGTTTGGTTGGCGGCAACTTGGGTCTGGCTTGGAATGAGGATTTGGATTTGGACTCCGAAAACGGCGGTTGTCCGAGGTTGTCCTGTTGGTTTACGTTTGGACCAAGCCAAAAAGGGTACCCTCGAAAAACCACCCACTTGGAGAAAGTACAAGTTTCTCACGCAGTCCTCGTACCTTGCATTAACAGCGCACAAACAAACAAGCACTCAACGCTGGTAGAAAAACACAACACAACCCTTTGTTTTTTGCGCAGTCATATGTTGGCGGAAGCGCAGCTGCTTGGTGCCCGTGGCGTTGCATGCGATGAGTCGTTTGCATGGCCCTCCTGCCCCCCAGAGCCCCCCGCAACTCAAAAACAATCAAGGGCCCAACTGTCGGAACGCCAAACACTGCGGCATCCACTGCGCCAGCTTTTTTGCGCATGTCCAGCACAAACCCCCCTTGAATGAACGAGCAAGGCAAAAAGCCTTCCCCACCTGCTGGTGCGGCCGGTACTTCACCTCCACAATGCCCGGGGGTTCCAAGATGCCGCCCCGGGCCTCGAGGTCCGCATACCTTGGCTTTCCATCAACCAGGCTCTCGAGCTGACGCTCTCGAGATTCGATTGATGACCTTGAACTTCGATTGACTTTGAAACATATCTTTGGTCCATTCCTTTTTCTCAGGCAGTCCGATGTCAGCTGGAAGTGGTCCTTTGGGTCCCTCCCATCACAATTCGAATGCACACCACCCTTCTCTCTCCATGCCTTTTCAAATAGCCCGCATTCCGAAAGGAATGTAAAAACAAAACAAATGCGTTGCCCGGCGGCATCTCCATCTTCTCAGGATTGATGGCAGGGTCGATGACCACCCAAGCTCCGCCCCGCAGCTCCCCGTGCTTGGGGATGTAGATGAAGATGGGGTGCTTGTACCTGGATCAGTTTTACAGGTCCGCTGGCCTTTATGCTGCTGGGACTGGGCAACAGGCTGAATGGGTCTACGTCTGTAGATTGCTTTGCATTTTGCTGAACTTTGGACAAGGGTCTGCAGCTGCAGCACACGATTGGCGACACTCTCGGCAACAGCATTCGCACAGCACGCACAAGACGGCCAACCCCGCTCTCCAAACTTCACAAATGCAGACGGGAAGCTCCACAAGGGCGTCCACGATCATGGCACCAAACTTCAGGATCTCCTTGGTGGTAGAGAGGGCGGAAGGGTTTCTTATTTTCCTAGGTTCGGCGGGCCTTGTTTTCCTAGGTTCGGCGGGCACTAAAATGACGTGTTTTACAGTAGTTCCTCACAAAATGCACCAGCACAGTCAACATCCCCGGCATCGTGTTTGACACCCCCAGCATCCTGTTCAACACCCCCCAAAAGATATGGTTTAGGCTGATTTTGGAAGGGTTAGGGCTGGTTTAGGGTTGGTATGGCGCTTGTGTAGGGTTTGTTTAGGTGCTGGTTCAGGGTGGGTTGTGTGCTGGTTTAGGGTGAGTTTGGGTGAGTTTAGTTTTGGTTTGAGAGCTAGTTTGGTGTGGGTTTGGCTGGCTTTGGGTAGATTTCGGGTGGTGGATGTAGGCTGGTTTAGTGCAAGTTTAGGGTTGGCTTACATGGTACAGTTGGTGTCTCGTGGTTAAGGGATTGTTTGGTGCTGGGGTTGGCTTAGGCTGGCTCAGGAGGGCCTGTATTGGGTTATTTTAGCGTGTCTCAAGGATGGTGTAGTGGCTGGTGTAGCGATGGTTTTGGGTGGGTTTAAGGTTCGTATAGGCTCGGTGTAGCGTGGGGAGAGGGAGGGAGTAGGGCTGGTTTAGGGTGGGTTTCGGGCTTGCTTAGTTCGGGTTTGCTTAATGTCTAGGGTTGGGTTTAGGGTTGGGTTTCGGGTGGATTTCGGGTGGGCTTAAGGTGTTTTTGGGGTGTCTTTAGTGCGGGTTCGAGTTTGGCTTGAGGTTGGTGTTGTTGTATCTTAGGGTGGGTCTAGTTGTGGTTTAGGGTGGATCTAGGGTCGAAAAGCCACCAACAGCCACATTGTTGTTTTACGAAAGTACCAAAAGAAAGGAAAACAACATGACAAAGTCGCCTTCCAATGCAAGTAACTCGTGTAACCCGCTGGTCCAGCTTGCGCGGCTGACCGACCGACCGACCGACCGACCGACCGACCGACCGACCGACTGACCGCTCGACCGACCGACTGACCGCTCGACCGACCGACCGACCGACCGACCGACCGGACCCTGCCACGACCCGGCCCGCCAAACCTAGGAAGAAAAACAAACTCGGGGCCCGGTAGAGAGAGAGAGACAGAGAAAAAGAAAAATGGTTCCTGGATGCAACTTGCCCCCACAGTTTTCGTGATGATGACAAATGTTCTACCCTGAAGCACGACGGCAAGCACCGGCAAAATGGCCAGCGAAGCAGTCGAGGTGAGGGGAACAAAAGTCCAACCAGCCCTGTCCAGTCGCATGGAGAATGAGTGTGTACAAGCACAAAGCAGTAAGGGAGTCGGGAAGTAGTTTCCGAATAGTAACCAAGATGAGTCCTGAGAAGCTGACAGACCTGCAGCCTAGGCACGTTGTGCATATCCCGGGTGCCGCCGGAGAAGCCACGCCAGTTGGCGAAGATCATGACCGGCAGGTTCTCGCCACGGTTGAAATCCCGGAGTGCCTGGTCAATGAAACCGCAGCGAGTTATTTCTCCGGTTTGTCTTCCGGAGGCCGCTTCGGGTCGAAACTTTCAGCGACTGGCAAGGTGCGATGGGCAAATAGGAGCATTGCTGTATCTCTTCAGGACAGGACTGCGCCCTTCAATCGCCAAGCCCTCTCCCTACCCCCCGACCGCCGACCGCCTGCGCAGTCTTGAAGGCGCTGTCAGGGAACCAGACCTTCCCTCGGCCGGAACAAGGACTCCCATCGGCAGGCTGCCCGATCAGTTTCGCACTGATGCTGTATAATGTTGGCTTCAACCATGCTCTGAGCAAAGTTGTATGAGAATTGCACGAACCTTCCCTGCGAAGGAACCTTGTGAACATGCAAAGACAAGAAGAAAGGGAGTCAAAAAGCAAACAAATCAGCAGTCAGTAGCCCATCCCACTAGAATGGCCACTCGGCCTGGTGCACAAAGGCTGCCTGCAAGAGAAAATTATTCTTTTGGCCGCCGAAGGGGCTGCCAGTTTAGAGGGGATTTTTCCTTTTTTGCGAGGCTGCTTCAACCTCTTTAATCACCTTCACTCGAACTTCCCTGCAACCGCCAAATCCAGCCCTTGACCGTTCCCCAAAAGTCAAAGTCCTCAACAACCGTACAAAACAACCAAACGTTTTTTCAAAGCAACCTCCCTAAGTGGGAAGCGATCCGCGCAGCCTTAGCGCCCCACCTCCCATGGTCTCCTTCACCTCGCAGCTCTCGGCATTCGAAGGGTCCGCAGGCACCAGGCGCTCGACGGACCGCGTCTCCACCGCGATGACACCCATGGGGATGCCGCCCAAACGCGCGCGCCCGCAGATCACAGTGCGGCCCCAGCCCTCCAGGTACCTCAATGCCAAGGAACCAAGCCCAAAGCCAAAAACCAAAAGTCACGATGTTGCCTTTTGTTCGTTTGGGAGAGACAGGAATTTGGGCACATGTTGCTGGGTCGGTCGGATCCAGAGCACGGCGCCTAGAGTTCCGAGTGCAATAGCTTACACCACACGCAAGGTAACCCAACTAAAAGTAGAAAGGGACAATGAGATCTGAGATTGATACGCGCCCTCGCGCAATGCCTTTTCACAGTCGCCCTTGAAACTGCCACAGACTTATTCGCCACGACCCCGGACCAGGCAGCGGTTAGATCCCTTAGATTGCCAGTCCCCAAGCCCCACCCTGCTCACCGCAGGCCCACCAGTGCAGCTCATTCCAGCCACCTCCTTGGCCCGCCGTTCGAGCAAGCCTTTGCTCACCGCAGGCCCAGCACCGGCATTATTTGCTCAATCCCGCATTGATCTTGTTTTTCTTTTCAGCCTGGCCGAGGCGGGCATCGCGCAGGTATGGGAATCCGAGCATCAAAAGTTGCGGGCCTCATCAGTTGGTTGTTTGGGGGGTGTAAGTTGAGCTTGTTTGCTCCCCATTCAATGGGGACTGTGGTATGCTGTTGCTTGTCCCTGGCTCCTTTGCTCCCCCCACGGACAAGCCATACCCGAACTCAACAAAGTCTTAGCTTGAAGCTGAGGTGCTCCGCCCAGGAACCGGCGTCGAAGAAACCCCGGAGCCGGCGGCCCTGGGGTTTTTGGTGCCCAGGTGTCCCTTTCCTTTCACCCTTCCAAGTAGGACCTCCAACTAGATTGTATTTGCTCGTGGTTTTCTTGTAAGCATGGCACAGCCCTGGCTTCGCGCGATCCCATGAATTGCACTGAGAAAAGCTTAAACCCATTCCGCTTGCTGACAAGCGTGAAACCGCCTGTCTTCTTCTCCTCGGACCCCCAAAGGAGACTTCAAACCATCTCTTCCCCAAAAAAAAACGCACAACTTCCCACCTTCCCCCCAAAACATCAAAAAAATGAAATCGCCACAACCCCTCCCAAAGCCCTTCCGAAGGGTTCGATTCGATCCCGTTTTCCTCGAGGTCCATGACGCCCCGCAGGAAGTCCCGGGGGTCGTAGGGCAGTGCCGAGGGCTCGAACTCCACATCCCGGTCCCAGGGGTCGCTGCTGATGCCACACAGGGGCGGGCTGCAAGTGTCCTGACTTGAAAACGCAAGCGTTTTTTCAACCCGCACAACCCCGAAAAGGCGCAAAATGCCAAGGCGCAAAAAGCTGAGTTTCAAAAATGCGAGATTGTTGCTTCTTGCCAGTGTGTCCCCACAAGACCCTTGGACCCGGCCAACAGGCTGGAACCCCGACATGCAAATGTGTTTCAAGCCACTGTTCACAATCGTACATATGATATATAGTGTACATGGTATATGGATATGCGTGGGTGTGTATCCGCATATATGTTCTGTATATATAGATGTGTATATACATATATATATATATGTATGTATAGAGAGAGTGTGAGAGAGTTCAAATTAAGTAGTACGAATAATACATTCATGTGAATAGTTGTTTGTATTTATATTCACACATATATACACATGTGCATGCATACAATACAAAACTTCATCACGTAAGTCACAACAAACTCCAAATGAGATGCAGCACAAAGCAAAGCGAACGCGAGCGGGGCATTTCCATGTCCACTGCCCGTTGTTAGCTTCGGCTCACTTTAGTAGAGGCAATCCATGCGATTACTTACAGTTGCACGAGTTCAGCACGCGCTCCCCAGCCAGCTCTGCCAGCAGGCGCAACAAAAGGAAGAGGATCAGAGTCAGAGTCACATCTTCATACATTCATGCGGAAATGCCCAAAAATGGAACCATCTCAAGCAAGAGCAGCACTCAGCGTTCCCCTTAACCCAGAAACTTCCTAACCAAATTCGGCCAAACCGCAAGCCTTAATTAACAGCACAGTGTCCACATGCATGTCCCATCACATTGACACAAGCAACGGGCAAAATGTATTTTTCCCCCAGAAGGAAATCAAATCATTGAAATTACCCCCTCCCCAGACCAGCAATTGTTTGTCGCTTGATCACATCACCTCCCCTGCGCTGTACCCATGGCCTTGGGCACGAAGCTCAGCCAGTCCAGAATGGCGCCCATGCCCTCCTGGTCGTCCCGCACCACCTGGTGGGTCACACCGTTGGGCACCATGATCTGCGGCCCGCCCAGCTGGTCCTGCCCAACGGATATGGCCCCCGGAAAGCGGCTGACAACCGGCGCCCAGCAAGCCCAGAAGTTCAGAAGTTCAGAAGTTCTTGGGCTGGCAAGTTTGTCGCCAATTCGGAAAGAAGTTGGCTATGCGTTGCAAGGGGAACACTCTGACACTTCTCGGACGCTCAAAGGCCCATGCGCACAGAAAATGGTTGCAGCACACACGATCAAAGCATCCTTCAAAAAACTAGAGCTGCTTCCCCCGGAAAATGATTACGGCACAATACCCCGAGCGCGATCCGCGCTAAGGGATGATACATTTTCCCAAGCCTGGGAGGAGTAGACATTCTTCCCAAGCAGCTTGTTGAGGGCTGCGTAGCCCGTCAGGATCATGGGGCTACTCACCATCTGAATGTTCCGCTGGCCCAGGCGGTTTAAGTACGCGCCAATGCCCACAGACCGGCCAGTGATGTAGGACAGAGTGAACGTGTCCTCTGCAGGCTCCGCCGCACAAAGCAAGACCTATGAGCCCCCCTTCTTGGTGGGATTTGAAGCTGAAAACGCAGTGCAGCAAATGTATGTGGAAAGCATGTCTCAATTGGGTTCACCCCCAGGATGCGTCTGCTTGCTTAAAGAATGAAACCAACCAAAACTCATGAAAAGCGTCCGACTTTCATCCTCTTTCAGCCTCTTTCTTGGATCCTTCTCTCTCTCTCACTCTCTATCGCTCCCTGTCACACGCACACACACACACACACACACACACACACACACATGCCCTGCACCCCACATAGCATCTCAGTTCCTGGTACGCCCGGCTCGTCTCGCCGGCGATGAGGCCGCTGCCCTGCAGGTTCTCCACGCCGATGCCGCCCTCCGTGCTCTTCATACCCTCGCCGATGATGGCATCCAGCACGTAGCGCTCCTCGCCGCCCTCCTGGCGCTAGCAATTCACAGGCTCAGCTCACCAGGTGAGATGGTGAGCTCGTCATTTGGATTGCCACGTCAACGGAGATGGACATGCCCCAAAAGGAAAGCAAAATTTGCAATGTGGGCAAGGCTTGACGTGTGATGTGTACACCATAAACATCTTGAATGGGTTCGGAATGATGAGCTGCTGACATGCGATCCAGTTGCCTCAAGTTCGTAAGGGTGAGGCAAACGCAAACCCCTGAAGAGTGGAACACCCAAAGAGCGCACTCTCACCCAGGTCTCCAAAGAGACAAATACTCAAAGAGAAAGATTGATAGATAGATGGGATGGGATTGGGATGGGATGAGATGGGATGGGATGGGATGAGATGGGATGGGATAGAACGAAATATATAGATTAGATTCGTTAGATGAATTAGATAGAATCTATAGATTAGACAGATTAGATAGATTGGATAGATTAGATAGATTAGATAGATTAGATAGATTAGATAGATTAGATAGATTAGATAGATTAATAGATAGATAGATAGCTGGCTAGCTAGCTAGATACATAGCTAGATACATAGGCAGACAAATAGACAAATAGACAAATGGCTGGCTAGGTGGCAACTATATGCTGCCAGTCCTTGAATCGAGGGAATAGGAAAGGAAAAGGAAAAGCATTATCATAAAGACAACTTACGACATCTCCCTTGATTTCCAGGATTATTTGTTACCTTTAGGATTCTCTCCGTCAATGAAAGACAGGAGAGAGATAGAAGGTAACATGTCTTTTTCTTACATTATGTTCATTCCTGATATTAATAGTTAATTCCCTGAGACTTGGCCATTCCTTCCACATCCTTCTTTCATCTACAAATTACTTCGCATG